ATAATATATATAATAAATAAATATAATGGGAATAGACCCCTAGTTTAAATAGTCTAATAAACCAATTCTGCTGTGGTCACATCTTCAATCTAGCTAACAAACCACAAACACAGATGCAGCTATAAGACCCAGTAACCTCTGAATTGTTAATGTCCTGTGATAACGGTTAAATCTGAAGCCTGCAATCATTCTCTTCAACACAGCTGCTCTTTCCTCTGTCAGAAACATCTTACCAAGGCTGGAGTTTAACACGGCCCCTATAAACGGCATCACTTGTTTTGTTTGTAAATGGGACTTTCCCAGTTGATATGAAGCCCCAATCTAGCACAGGTTTCAACAGCTAGATTAATCTGAGACCGTAGCTGATCCCTGGACCATGCAGTAAACAGCCAGTCATCAAGGTAAGGAAATATTGAACAACCTTGAGATATGCCACTACTACTGCTAGGCATTTAGTGAATACCCTAGGTGCTGTGGTCAAGTCAAAAGGCAGTGCCATATAGTCATACGACATGTCATTTAACATAAATCAAAAATATTTTGTATGGGACTCATGGATTTTAATATGAAAATAAGCATCTTGTAGATCAAGGACAGCAAAGCAGTCCCCCCACAGGGACAAACTGTGCTATGAAGGACAATGTAAGTATTTTAAACTTCCGAACATGAAGGAATGCATTTAAATCCCTTAAATCCAAAATAGGACGGGAACCCCCATCTTTTTTATTTATGGCAAAAAATCTTGAATGAAAACCTAAGGGGAACAAATCCAACCTGGATGGTGCCCCTGCCCCCTTTTGCAAGAACACATTTAAATCAGCTAACAAAGGAGAATCTACAGCCTGAACAGTAGATATCGCTTGTGTAGGCAGTTGAAGAGGTGGCAACATGGTAAACTCTAAACAATAACCCTTTGAAACTATAGAAAAGTACCCATTTGCCATTTGTAATCTTTTCCCATTCACCTCAACACTTGGTCAAACTGCCCTGAAAGAAAGGCTGACCATCGGCTTAACAGCTTGCCCCTGTTCCCTAACTTGTCCTTCGGCATTATTAGTCCCCTTAGATCGTGGTGAAGGACATTGAGGAAATGCGGGGCAGCATTGAAGCCTCTTTGCTGGGGATACGTAGGCTGGAAATGCTGCTGATATGGATGATGCTGATTCTGAAAGCCCAAATAGAACCTCGGCTGGAAACGCTGTCGGTAGCCATGTAGACACGCCATACTGCAGGTATTCATTAGTCGTCTCCGAGAAGAGGGAGGCACCTTCAAAGGTGCACTGCACTCAATCTGATTACGTGTATCGGGTGGGAGTGCTGTTGAGCAAAGGCAGGCATGTCTTCTGATTATAATAGAAGATGCTATGCCTCTAGATGTTGTATCTGCTGCATGCTTGCTAGTATTTAATTGTTGCTTGGCGAGATTCAATGAATCTTGTAATAAAACATTCGCCAAGGATTGCTGCTCCTCGGGCAGTTGTTGAATGAATAGCTGTAGTCTTAACCCCAGGAACAGCTGGTAGGCGGACATAATTGCCTGGTAGTTTGCTGTCTTAAAATTCAAAGCTGCAGAGGCATAGAATCCAGCTTCCTACCCTCCTTATCAGCTGGAGTGGCTTGCATCTCCTCTGCCACTGACGATGAAGGCAAGGGGTGAGCAGCTATAAATGGGCAATTTTCTTGTTGAACCTTGTCAGGCCCGTAGCTAGGACCTTTTTAGTGGGGGGGGGGCTGGGAAAAGTGGGGGGCCGAAGTACCATTCTTAATTTAAAGTGGGGGAGTCTAGCCCTGTCCTGTGGTGTACACGTTCAGGTAAGGCGGCGACTTGGCGGCGGAGCGCGGGGGGAGGGAGAGGCGCGCCTGAGCCGGCGCTCTTCACGTGCCGTTCCACGGCGGGATTATGGAGCTGCCGGTCCCAGCGCCCTAGTCGTCGCCAGGCTGGGGGCGCCCCAGCGGGGGAGCAGAGTTGGCTGTGGCACTCCGCCAGGTGGGGAGCATCGCTCGAAGTCACTCGGTCAGGGTTCCAGGAGACGGCTTCTGTGGCAGAGGAAGTGACGCCCGAGACCGGACTTCCCGGTCTGCGTCCTGGGCACGTTTTGCCAAAAGCCGGGGAGGCGAGCGGGTCCTGGCTCTTCTGACCCCCCCCCCGCTACTCCACCTGTGCTGTCAGTCTGGCCCGGCCGCCTCTGCTCCAAGGGAGCCCCCTCCCCCTGCCAAGCACAGGCGCCTCTCCCAACGGAGGAAGCTTGGGGAGCTGATTGGGCGGCCTCAAGTCGGTGCTGTGGCTTGTTGCGCCTTAGTTGAGAGACCGGGGGAGGCGGCTGCCTGGGGCCCCCCTGTCGGATTTCTCCGGCTGGTACATCAAAGTCGTCCCCCCATGGTCATTATTTTGGGTGAGGGGAGGAGCCGGGCCAGCTGCTGGGGGGGCTGAGGAGACAGTGCATGGTGGAGCGCAGCTGGCTGGTCTGGCATCCCTTGGGCCAGGGGCCCAAGAAGTGGCGCGGCACGGGAGGAGCGGCAGAAGCCAGCCTGACTCGCTCTCGCTCTCTTTCGGCGCCTGTCTCCTGCCCGGCGGCTTCTCTTCATGCAGGGCTGGTGGTGGGAGGTCTCCTTCCCTTTGCGGGGCGCTCTCTCGATACTCCTGGAAGGGCGAGTGATCGACTGAGGCTGTGGTCACACACGCTAAATAACCCACTTTCATTCCACTTTCCAACTGTCCGGGAGTGCACCTAACGTGGATTGGAAGTGGATTCTCTAGCGTGTGTGGCCGCAGCAGCCCAGGTTCAGACGCTCCTGCGTCTCGGAGGAAGGCGCGCCTCACAAAGTTTCCTCCGTCGGTCCCAATGGCGCCCCCCCCCCATGAGGCGCCGATTCCAAGCGTTGTGGATGCGACCGGGCAAAAGCCAAGCCTGCTGGCGGATCTGCACTAGGAGAATCTACGCCACCGATTATCCCCCGCCGCTGGAGAGGGAGGGCTGGGAGGAGGTGGAGAAGAGGATCAGGGGAGGAGCCCGCAAAACCTGTGGGAAGGCCAGGCCGGGCCCCGTGGGCCCCACGTGAGCTACGGGCCTGAACCTTGTACATGTACTCCATTCTGTAGGATGTTGCAGGAATGGAGGCAGGTTTTTTCCAAATGTTTGTGGCTATATCAACAAAACCTACCACTGGAAAGGCTTTTCCAGTTGGAGCCTCTGCACGCACTTTGCCCAGAGTTTTGTCCTTTGGTTTCGATGCAATGGATGTCAAGTGTATTTCAAGAGCCTTTGCCATTTGTTGCATTTGCTCTGCATCTATGTGTAAGTCTTCCGTATCCAGACACTCATCCATTGGGTTTGCCAGTATGTCAACAAGCAATTTAGTACTCATAAGGGATCTCCAATCCTCATCATCGGAACCATAGGGCTCTGCCCATTCCCCTTGCCCTTCATTCAGAAGAAGCCTGTGTGAGGAGTCAACAGCATCAACTTCAAACTCCACATTTGGATCACAACTGCCTTATTGTGTGTACTGATCAAGTGCTGCCCAACCCGAATGATCACTAACCAACAGGCCCATAGCCTGCGTGGGGCCCTTGGGGCCCGGCCTTCCCACAAGTTTTGCGGGGCCCCTCCCCCCGATCCTCTGCTCCCCCCAGCCCCCCCACAACCACTCTCGCGCACACACAAACAGACCCGGTCTCCACAAGGGTGCTCCATTCTCAACGCCCACGTCCCCTTTCAGTTCCACCCTGAGGCTGCTTTTCTGAGGCGCTCTGCCACCACCACCCGCGTCCAGAAACAAAAGAGGCTCTCCACGGAGCGAGGCGAACGGACCGCGTGGGCTTGTCGGCTCCCAGCGGAGATGCGCGTTGCTCCCCATCCAGCAGAGTCGGCTGTCGGTGCTTCTTGCTTGGGGGCCGGAGCAGCGGTGCGAAGGAGAGAGCCGGATGGGCACCTGAATGCCATTCTTGCCACGTTACGCCCTGCCCTTTCGGAAAGTCGTTTTTTTTTAAAGGGGGAAAAAAGGAGGGGGAGGAGGAGGAGGAGATGTAGAGAAACGGCCCACTCACATGTTCCAACATAGCAAGTGGGGGGATTTTTTTTTGTTTTGCTTCAAAGGAGCGCGTTTTCACCCCCTTTTAGATGGCAATGTGGATTTTGAGTATGTGTGTGCTCTTCTGCTCAAAGCACCTTTCTTTCTCATGCCTAATCCTCGTATTGCTTGGTTTATTGGGGGGGTGCACACGCGCACAAAAATCTCCCCCCCCCCACTTTGGCTGGGTGGTGTCTCCCACCCACCCCCTTCACCTCCTGGCTCCGCTCCCGGCTGAGAAGGCAGCCTTCGCAGCTGATGCTGGATCCTCGCGGGCCGAGGAGATGGACAACTCTCTTTGTGTGCCGTGGCCGCTCAAGGGGTGGGGTGGGGTGGTCCTGTTAGATGTGTCTTTAATACCTAACCTGACACAAGGACTGACAGCTCGGGCTGGAAACTACCTCTGTGGGTGACGTCAGAGCCTCTCTTCCAGTGACTACTTCGGCTCCAGGCAGCAGAGTGCATGGCCGGGGAAGCCAGTTTAGGGAGAAATCCAATCTTTCCTTCTCCCCCTCCCCCCAAGATTTGAAATGTGGGGGAGGGGGCACAGGCGGAAGGTGGGTGGTACCAGCCAGGACCAAAAAACAAAACAAAAAACACCTCCCTTCTCAGGAAAAAGAGAGAGGCAAGTTGTGGGTAGCCAAACTTTTATTCAGAACCTGATCACTGGGGGATTTCTTTCTTTCTTTTTTTAAAAACCACTTCACTGCTTTAGTAGCAAAGTTTTTAGGTGATCAAAGGTTTTCTTGATGAAAACAGCAATAAGAAAAATCTAACAATCATCTTCTTGCGATCTAACAATCTGCTTCTAGCTGATTGGGAAAGGGGGTTAACACAACTTGCATTTTGTTAAAATGGGTCCCCCTTTTATTAATGGTGAAATATTAGTTGCTACACCTTCTCTTATAATTGCAGATCTTCCTCCCATTTAAAGATCCTAGGAGGCCAAAGGTGGGCTCCTCATCAGAAAAAAAGTAAGCAGTGTTGGTATACATCTCAGGACTCTTTGGAGAATCTTAATTTCTGTTCATAAACACAAAGATGAGCCTAGTCGTTCAAATCAAAGGGAATTATTTTATGCATGGTCCCACATGCTAGGACACCAAAGTCACAATCCTGTACACAGTGATGCCAACTAACATGCTTATTCAGAAGTATGGGCCACTGAGCTTAATGGGACTCACTTCCAGTAAGTAATCTTTGAATTGTACTGAAATTAATGAATCTTAAGACTACCTAATTCTTTAGTACTTTTTGGAGGATATATATAAACTGAAGAGCTCTATTAACACAGTAAGAGGTTGTTACCTTCCTTGTTATAACAAGAGATTCTGACAGGTATTAACACCATGTAATTCATAGTTAAGAATGAAAAAGAGAGAGGGGATAGTCTCAGAGTGTATTTATTTTTAAGATTGAGCTATCTCCATGCAATTCTAAAGCATTAGCAATTATAGTAAAATGTTAAATTTGCACTGGAAACATAACAGAGACCCATATTAAATGGGTTTTGAGGGTGTTTGGAATACAGAAAGGGATGCTCATTTTCACACCCATCACTTTTCCAGCTCCAAATTGCCTCCCATTTCCTCCCCCTCTGGAGTTCCAAAACACATTCCATTTCTTTCTATCCATGCCTTGGCTAGGCATCAGGGAGGGAGAGTGGGGTGCATCTCAGTGCTGAGCATATTTTATTTTTATTTGATTTTTTATTTGTTTGATGTCAGTGCACTGTTTGTGATGTCAGTGCACATGCGTGGGGCTTTTGGGGCCTCCCCACTAAAAATGTCCTAGCTACGGGCCTGCTAACCAAGTCTTTGGGTTGTGCAGGTAGAGATTGCTGAGGCAGCGGGGAGGGCATCAGTGGTATATACAGGGGGGAAGGCATCTTTGGTGGTTCAGCCAGAATGGATTCTGGTACAGTCTCCTTACTAGTGGAAGCTACAGCATCCGATCCAGTCTTAGATCTTTAGGATTTGTGTTTAGAACGGCCCTTATGCGTCTTATGAAGGGGTTCTGAAATAGATCTACTCAGAATGAATGGGGGAGATGCCATTCTTTTACGACTCGGGTCCGATCGAGAGACTGAATGGGATGAAATAATTGAACGTGCTGAGCCACAATTAGAGCATGGTGTTTGAGCTACCGCAGCATTTTGTATAGCCTCGGCAGATGAAGCTGCTGCCGGGTTACTGGAGGCTGATAACGCCTTTTCCCACAGTGCGGCCTCCAGGAGGCTGACCTGTCAGTTCTGGCCTTTGTTGTAAACTTTTTACATTTAGGACAGGAAGCCATATTGTGACTTTGTCCTAAGCACAATACACGAAGTTCATGATAATCCGATATTGTCATCTTGGTAGAACACTGAAGACATTTTTTGAATGGTAACATGGTGACAGAGTCACTGAGGTAAAACACCAGCTAGTACAGAAACAACCTTCATCAGTGGCAGTAAAAGAAGAGCTGAGGGAGTGTGTGGAGCCCCCCTCCTGGATCACGTGACCATTAGGCGGGAAAAGTAATGATTCTCCAGTTGGGAGGGGCTCCTCCCACTCTGTTGCTAAGCTAAGAATAAAAACACA